ATGTGGTTGCATTCAGTCTCCCCAGGATCCTGTCCACGTCCTCGGGAGCCACAGAGTCAAATTCCTCCCATATAATAGTCTCAAGACCTGCTCCCGCCACCTCCCCCGGGGCCACCCAGTCGGAGTCCAGACCCTCTCGGATCCGAGCGACTTTGTCATGCAGATATTGTGCAAATTCCTCAGCCTTCCCCGCCAGGGGTCCCCCCCCTCAATTGAAGGAGGGAGCGGGTCACCCTGAAGAGGGAGGCCGGGCGGTTATCTGATGACGCAATGAGGGTGGAGTAGTAATTAGACCTCGCCACCCTCATCGCCACGAGGTAGGATCTAACATGCATCCTTACCTGTGTTCGGTCGGATTCGGTTCGGGTAGCCCTCCAACTGCTCTCTAGGCGTCTTTTCCGGCGTTTCATCTCTCTCAGCTCCTCGGTAAACTAAGGAGCTAGTTGAGATCTACGTCGGGTCAGAGGCCGCAGTGGCACGACTCGGTCCAGTGCTGCGGCTGCGGCCACATCCCAGGCCGCAGCCTGATCTTCCGCCGAGTCGTGACCTAGCTCCTCGGGATATGGCCTCCAAGGTCCCTTCCAACTTTTTATTATTATTATTATTATTATTATTATTATTATTATTATTATTATTATTATTATTATTATTATTATTATTATTATTATTATTCTACCCTAACATTGCCTACTTAGGAGCAGCTTAGGATTCCATGCCTGCCAAGATGATCACAGACCTAGTCTGACTGCTATCTGCAGTAGGGCACAGACTGGATTTGGCATTTAATTTCAATTCAATTTGGATTCAATGGGACCCAGTGTTCTGAAAATAGAAAATTTCTTTGTAGTTCCATTGTCATGGGCAGATCATTCTCTGGTCACTTTCAGAAAGTAATCTGCTATGAACCTCTGTAGATGTTCTCAGGCTGCTGACACGGTTGTTGATATCCTGGTCAGTTTAGAGAACATGGGAGAGGCCTAAGCAACTGACACAATTTCTCCTGAGTATCCCTCTCAACAACTTAACCGTTTTACACAATAGGTGAAAACAATGAGGTACATAGGTGATAGAATAGAATGCAAGTAGAGAAACACTTGGGATGAATCAGACTGCAGACAGAATGGACTCCTTTTTAAGGTTCACCTGAAACCTTATTGATTTATGGTTGCAAGAATGTTAAGACTTTGTCTAAATTTTACTATGGCCGATGATCCTTGTATTGCACTGAATTTTGAGAGTTTTTCTTATGGTCAGACTATAATATATGAAAAAAATCGTGGGTTAATTTATTTAAACAATTTATGGACTTTGAATGGTGTACAAAGACTTAAAACTATCACAAAAGTAGAAACTCATGATCCCCAACTAAGTACTTGTTTAACTGCCTGGCCTAAAAACCTTAAGGGAGCAGCCAGGTCTTCAGAGTCTTACAAAAAGCAATAGAGTTGGGGTATCTGGATCTTGGGGGGGGGGAGAGAAAGCCACTCCACAGTGCAGGTGTAGCCAAAAAGAAGGCAATATTCCAGGTACAAACAAATGGCATTATTTGAAGGAATCCAGAGCATGCTTTCCCAGTTAGACCTGGAAGAGGTGGTAGAAACAATGGGGAATAAATGCTCCCACACATAGCTTGGTCCTATGCCATGAGGGCTTTATAGACAGTAATCAGCACTCTGAATTGGTTTTATAAGCTTACTGGTTATCAATGCAGTAGAATGGGAGTTGCCAAAAATTACCTGCATTGTCATTCTGGACCAGCTGCAGATTCCAAATACTCTTGAAGAACAAGTCCATATAGAGCATATTTCAGTAATCCAGGTGGACGGTGCCTAAGATATGAATCACCATGAAAAGTCCTCCTGCTCCAGGTCAGGAGTCCAATTGATGCACAAGATGCATCCGTTCAAAGGCCCTTCCTTATCCATGGCTGTCACCTGCTCTTTGAAACCAAAAGAAACCCCCCCTCCCCAATGCTCTGACTAAGATGGCAAAGGAGTAAGCAGAATAGAATAGATTAGGCTTTGAGAGACCGCCAGCCACCCAGCAACAGCATTCTCTTCATTAGCAACTGCAAAGAGTGACAGATTCTAACTAATTGTAAATCAGGAGTTGGCAACCTTTTATTGTCTAAGGGCCATAATGTTTGAGGCACATTAGGACTGTGGGCAGGGCACATTGACCCTACAATTTAATGAGCTGCAGTTTCCAGCTCCAGAAGTTCTTTTTTTTTTTACAAATAGGTACTAATAAAATTGCTATAATTTTTTCAAAGCTTGTTGTAAATTTCATTTTTTTAACAGTGTCTTACCGAAAAAGCAATTGTAGCTTACAATCTAAAGAAAGCTAAGCAATAAAAATCAAATATACCACCTTATGGCTTATTATGTGTGAATTCAGCAAAAAAAAAAAGTCTTTGATATCCAACTGAATTAATGCTACTGGGATTTTTTTTGTTTTGGTAGGGAAAAAAGGTTTCAGTGAATGTTACTTATAAAATTATAGCTGACTATAAAGATAGTATTAAATGTACTTCCCTTGATCTATCTATATATGTATATGTATATGTATGCCTACATGGTGCTTAGACTTGAACTTGTAGGATCTTAGTCTTCTCTGGTATATCTGGCCCCCACTGCAGCATCTATACTTTGACAAATATATATAATACTTGCAGGGGGAATCTTTAGACAACGTAACCTACTGGTTCTCCAGGAGATCAAATTCTTCACAATTGGGTACCTACGTCTGCTGAAGCCTTCTTGTAGTGATCACTATGCATAAGCATTTTCTATTCAGATATCAAGATATCAAGATGTAAATGTTGGGGATACCTGCATGACTTAGGATCCCGTTGTATGAGACTTCATCCCTTTGACTTATACAGCAGACTTCCTGCTTTTATTGTCTGAAGGTGTGTTAATGCAACACAGATGTTCTGAATTCCACATAAAATTCCTGAATGATGTAGAATTAAGTTATCAAATTTTATTCTGAATCTATAATGGCATGTGGAAATAACTTTGGGCCATGGGGTGAAGAGATGGTGCTTAGGAAACCATTAGATAAGAGATAGCGTATTCCACATCTGGATAGTGGCTGGGGCAAGAGGTTCAGAAGAGACCCTCCCTAATTTTGGGGAATACAAAGGTGATGGGGAGAATTGTACTTTCAGGCTTGGAAGATTCTGATAATGTAGTTTTAGAGTGGAATTAGCTCACCTGGTCATGTTTTCTGTTTGGTCCACCTGGCAAGGCTGACAGAATATGATTTTGTTTTTCATATATGAAGTTGTTTTCAGCAAGCTTGCCATCTGCTTGGTCTAATTATGATTTTAAAAAATTACAAAACAGGAACCAAAAGAGAAACACAGCAAGCATGTGACTTATCTACCCTGCTGTGCTGGAGGGCTCTTCAAATCTCCTAGCAGTGGGTGGGAGGCAGTATAATGTCTATCACAAGAATTACTGAGAGCTAAATTTATACTGACACCATTTTGGCTTTGATCTCAATGAATCAAATTCACAGTTTTAACATACTTCACATCAAATAATTTTTCTAGATTTGTTTTAAGCACCTATTTTTTGATAGATTGGCTGTTCATTAGTTTGATACGTTAATAAAATGCTGACATTAAATTTACCACACTTTGGCAGCAACTACAGAAGACAGCTTTGGTTGCAAACAGAAACGTAACAAAATCAAGTAGATAACGGGAATGTTTTCTTTTTAGAGCATCAGTTATGCTTTTACTATCTGGTTTCTTTTCCTGGCCAAGCAGCATTAAGCAAAAGGCTGTATATGAGATCAGAGGTGCTTCAAAGCCTCAGTTTTACAGCTTTTGAAAACCTCCAAAAGTTATTGCCAGTGAAGAGGGGGAGATATGCTATAAATTGCAATAAAGATGCCAAATGCAATTAAAAGCCACTTTAATTTTTGTCCTGATGGAGGGGCTCATTCTCAAACTGTAAGAGAGCCAGGACAAAAACTGGGCCTAATGACGTCATTCAAAGACCAAGTAAGCTGTGCAGTTTGCAATGAATAAAAGATGCCTACTTGGAAATAAATCCTACTGTGTTCCATAGGCTACGTGTGCCCGTGACCGCCTTGCTCAGAAACCGATGGGATTTGCTTCCAGGACGACTAAGGTTCCGGAACGCAGTCAGGGGGTAACCTAAAGGCCATTCATGGTCCCGGGTCAGGGCGCTCAGGGTTCCAGCTAGGACAGCGCGGGTTCACAGCGAAGCTCCTTCGGCTCGCCGGGGTGCGGCCTCCGGTGGCGCAAGAGCTCCCGGCCCCGCCCGCCCGCCCCTCTTCCCACACCCGCAGCTGGAAAGGGGAGGCGTGGTGGCTCCTGCCTGCGCCTGGAGCGCACGGTTCTGGCTGCAACACGCCGGAGATCGCCGCAAGTACGAGCCGAACCACGGCGGAAGGCATAATCGACCTCCCGGCTGCGAGCTGCTAGGGAAGCTGCTGATCCGAGGCAGGGCAGGCGGGACGGGAGGCGACCCGGGCTGCTGGCGGAAGCTGCCCACGGCAGGTCCGGGCTCTCGCTTCCAACTGGGCTCCCTCGCCCCGCCAAGCCGGCCCGGGGGTGGCCGAGGGGATGGCGGGCTGCGCGTAGGAGGGTCTGATCGGCTGCGCGGGGCCATGCGGCGCCCCGGCTGATGCTGCCTCCCTGGGGCGGCCGCCTGCTCGCCATGAAGCGGCAGAACCTCCGCACGGTCTCGCTGATCGTCTGCGTTTTCTCCTATTTGCTGGTGGGCGCCGCCGTCTTCGATGCGCTCGAATCCGAGGCCGAGATCGGCCACAAGCGCCTCCTGGAGCAGAAGCGCAGCGACCTCCGAAGGAAGTACCGCTTCTCGGCGGAAGACTACCGGGAGTTTGAGCGGCTGGTCCTGCGGGCCGAGCCTCATCGAGCCGGCCGTCAGTGGAGGTTCGCCGGCTCGTTTTACTTTGCCATCACGGTAATCACCACCATCGGTGAGTGCGCGACTCTCGGCGCCCAGCGTCCGCTTTCCCTTTGGCCACGAGGCGGCAAGGACGGTCCTCCCTTCCCCCCGCCCCATCACCACCCCTTGTCGCCCTTCCAAGAAGCCACCTGTGGGTGCGCCCGGCTCTCCTCCGCCTCTCCGGCAGTAGACGCGTCCTGAGGCATCCATCTAGGGCTAGGCTGAACACGAGCTCTGTACGCAAGGTCTTAAAAGGCGTGGCCGTTTAGGCGAGTTGGCATTTGCATGTAGTAAGGGCATTAGTGGAGAGAGTTTGCCTCCCTTCAGGTGAGCGTCTAACTCAGTGGTTCTCAACCTTTTTAATGCCGCGACCCCAACCGGTCGTAAGTCGAGGACTAAACCGGTCGTAAGTCGAGGACTAAACTGGTCGTAAGTCGAGGACTAAACCGGTTGTAAGTCGAGGACTACCCAACCGGTCGTAAGTCGAGGACTTTCCCTGCCCAGGAGCGCCGCGCATGCGTGGTTCCGCCCCCTGCGCCGGCCGAGGTGTAGCTGGCAAGCGGCAGAGATGGAGCAGGCCGACCACCAGCTGGCCCAGCCCAAGGGAGGTAAGGCACCCGCCGGAAAAGGGGAAAAAAATGGCGGACAGCCTTGCTTGGCGATCCCTGTGAAATGGTCGATCGACCCCAAATGGGGTCCCGACCCACAGGTTGAGAACCACTGGTCTAACTCTTCAGTGGACCCAGAGCCCATGAAGTCAGAAGAAACTGATGACCCTAGTCAATGTGGTCGGGTTTCCTGCAGCTTCTCTTAAGCCAGCCTTCCGCAGGGTCTCGCTGATCTTGGTAGCTTGGTGGTCTCAAGAGGCTTTGGGGCTTACAAGCTGAGGAATTCACAGTTGACTTCTGGACCACCAGGAATCAACTGTTGCAGCCATCAGTCAGGTGTGAGCTTTCCTCAGCTCCCCCAACAAGCCTACATTTCAAGCTTAATTTTAGCTTGAAATTAACTACAGAACGTATGAGATAACTATTATGAAAAGCATTTCTGAATATGTACAGGGTGCTTTGTCTGCTTGATCACAATCCACTTTCCACATGTAACTGGGATCACTTAAAAAAGAAAAAAAGAAAAGGACAGTACTTCCAAGGCTGGCTCAAGATGTGAATACTGCTCACTGGGGAGGGCCTGGATCAGTGACAGTTTAGTGTACTCATACTGGTTCACAATTTTCAAGAAAATTGGGATGCATAAGCTCTTTATCTCATGAGCTTTCAATGTGAATTATTGCCATCTCACTTCAGATCTTCTAATGATAATTTGGAACTTTTGCAATCTTATACGCTGTAATGTAACTGGCCACCCATCCCCAATTGATCTGGAAAAGTAAATTGTTAGCAAAGTTCATATTAGGACCGTCCTTGCCACTTAAAGGCTGATGATCTGGTCCCTGCAGCCATTACTGCTGCCTGATCCAGTCCTAAGAGGGAAAAAGGGGCACTGGAAGTAGTGACACAGCCATAGGGTTAGAAATAGCCACTCTGTGTATAGGCAGTCTTCCACATACAACCACAATTGGGACCAGACTTTCTGTTGCTAAGCAGAAGTGAGTTGTTAAGTGAGTCATGCCTGATTTTATGACCTTTTTGCCATAGCTATTATGTGAATGACTGTAGTTGCTAAGTGAATCATGAGGTTATTAAGCAAGTCTGATTTTCCAAATTGACTTGGCTTGTCAGAAGTCAGCTAGGAAGGTAGCAGATGGCAATCACATGACTCAGGATGCTGCAGCGATCATAAATACATGCCACTTGCCAAGCACCCAAATTTCCTTCACATGACCATGTGGATGTTGCAATAGTCATCAGTGCAAGGACCAATCATTAGCAACTTTTTCCAGCACTATCGGGACTTTGAATGGTTGCTAAACCAATGGTTGTAAGTTGAGACTACCTGTATATCCTATTCTTATATTGCAAGGGTTCCCAACCCCTGGTCCATGGACCAGCATTGGGCCGCAACATGCCAGCAACAGGGCCGCACAAACAAGCGAAACCACACTCCCTTCGGTCCATGGAAAAACCTCTCTCCATGGAACCGGTCCCTGGTGCCCTAAAGGTTGGGGACTGCTGTTCTATTGCATATGCAACTCTCATCGAGCATGATGCAAATTAAATCACTTAAAGCAAGAGTAATATTCTCTTTGCTGTTATTAAGCTGGGCCTATGAATGTATTTAAGGACAGAATATATGTATTTTTGGGCACTTATTTCTGCCCTGTGTTTCCCCAACATTTTGGAGGACTGGTAGTGATTGCTTCTTCCAGCATCCATAGAGCAAGTGGGTTTCAAATATTAAAAATTATACATTAATTGCTAACTATACTGTTTAGGATATTTTTGTTTTCCCAATTCCCACTGCCGAAATTATTGAGTTTGAATTTTGGTTTTAAAAAAAGGGCAGTTGACAATATTTGACAGAAAGAAAAAATAAGTATTTCTCCATGACCAGAATCCTCTCTTCCCACAATAACATAAATATTCGCAAGTATGATTTCCATCTATGGTGATATATTCATGTATCTTTAACTGTCTCTTCTTTGGAAAAGAACCGTTGACATCATTGTTTATATACAGGATAAGGGGACAAGAATGAATGGGAAAGAATCCATGCAAAGTTGTTCCTGCCAAACCTTGCAGAAAGCAAGTTGGCATGTTTGGGTTGCATGTGACTCTATCCTTAGAGCACCTTCTCTTCCACTTACGTTTCTCAGCATCCAGTTTTTGATCCCCACTTTCTTTATCTTGTTGTGCCAATGTTGTCTTTACTTCTTAGGAAACCCGGACTTGGGAATAGGGCTGCTTACAGTTTAGTTAAAAAATGATGTAGATAGTAGAAAAGATGGGCATTTTTCTCTGTGGAGGGATATAACACATGGAGCCCCGAGTGAGGCTCACCAGTGAAAATGTTGGTTTTTAATATTTTCACAGATAATGTAGCGATCGGGATGGGCAGTAGATGATGCTCATTGATGATGGGGGAAGGGATTACAGAGAGCTCTCCAAGCATGTTTCCAAACTGAATGGATAAGCAGTAAAATGTAGATGTAGGTTATGATAAAATATTTATTTTATATATGCATGACTTTGACCAGCTAGGAAAAGTGCAACAGTGAGGATACTGTACTCAAAGAAAACATTGATCTGGTGTTTGGCAACTGTGAAAAAAAGATAATGGTGTAGCACAATTCATTAGGAAAGGGACTGAAAAGAAAAAAAAATCCATCATTTTATAATGCCGTTAAACAAATCTAAAGAGGAATGACATTTGAAATGTTTATCTGTCTACCCACTCCAGCCAATAATAATAATAATAATAATAATAATAATAATAATAATAGAAAATTGGGAAAGATTTAGAAAAATAACAAGCAAAATAATAAATAGATACTGTTAATGCTTAAAGTTAACCAGGCCTGTAAGTTTAGAGTGGAAATTCATAGTTCAGCTTTGCCAATAAGTCTACAAAAGCAGCTACCTGACAAATATTACTAGCTTTCTGTCCATACAATTTAATGCCTGGAACAAATTCACATTACACTCAATAACTAGGTGTGTATGAGCAAGCTGGAGTTGTTGCGTGTAGGCATCTTTGCTTCTAAATTTACTGGAGTAGTGGGCTTTTAGTGAACTGGCTACTCAAGAAGGGTATTGGATAGCGAAGACAAGAAATTTTTTCCAATGGTTCTCAAACTTGGCATTGAACATAACAAATTTCACTTTCCCCTCTTGAGTAACTCCACTCACTAACTGTTCTTGGGGATTTTAACAGTGATCAAGTTTGGAAAAATGGAACAAAGTTGTATAATGCTGGGAACTTCCATCATGGACATCTTCAGGAGCAAATATTTTTAATTCTTGGAAAGGGTTATCAGTAATCTCTAGTTTGAACTTGGAAGCCTTTTTCTACTACTTATTATGGGTTAACCCCAGGTTTTCTTCAGATATCAACATACGTTGGGCCAATAAATTAGTGCTTGTGTTTTTCTAAGGTGTCATATCATTTCATGTTTGCATTTCCTCTCATCATCCTTAAATATCTGATCCTTCAACGCATATGAGGTTTCATCATCTTCTCTTTGTGTCATACTGTACAAGGCTGTTTTGTATCCTAGAAGAATATGTAGTTCTTGAGACTGACATTACACGTCATCCACACAGAAGAAGGCAGTTACCTGATATTTGCATTAGTAAGCTAGTTCTTGAAATAGGGTGGACTATGATTTTGTTTCTTTTTAAATTTTTAATATGAGTTTCTCTTTTTATTTCCTTGTTTTGCTGCAGGTTATGGGCATGCAGCTCCTGGGACTGATGCTGGCAAAGTGTTTTGCATGTTCTATGCAATCCTTGGTATCCCACTCACACTGGTTATGTTCCAGAGCCTTGGGGAGCGCATGAACATTCTTGTTCGGATGTTGCTAAAAAAAATAAAGCAGTGCCTGGGAATGAGGCAGACAACAGTCTCCATGAAAAATATGGTTGTGGTTGGTTTTCTCTCATGTATGGGGACATTAGGCATTGGGGCAGCTGCCTTTTCCTATTTTGAAGGCTGGACTTTCTTTCATGCCTTTTACTATTGCTTCATAACATTGACCACCATTGGATTTGGAGACTTTGTTGCCCTGCAGAAACATGAAGCTTTGCAGAAGAAGCCCCCCTATGTAGCATTCAGCTTTATGTATATCCTAGTGGGCTTGACAGTGATTGGGGCCTTTCTTAACTTAGTGGTCTTTAGATTTTTGATCATGAACTCAGAAGATGAGCGTCGGGATGAAGAAGAGAAGGCATCTTTAAGGAGAGCCAGAAATTACATCAACTTGAAACCCAGGGAAGATAGCAGAAGTACAAATGAGATCTTGCTCCCTGTAGAAGACAGGACCAGTCAGATGAACCTCATCCCATTGATCCATGATGATGCTGAGCGACAGAGGGGCAAATCCTTGGTTTCTACCACAAAAGTCCCTTCCTTTTGTACATGCCTATGTTACAGGCCACGGATGAACAGAAGCCCAGATCCTCCCCATCCTGAACCCTTCAACTGTCATACAAATCTGGTTTATTATAACTCAATTTCTTACAAAATCATGGAAGTCTCCCTGGGTGGTAAGGATCACACTGGCTTGTCTTCCCCTGGCAGTACTTTGTCATCTGATAGTCCCAGTTGCCGAGGGCACTCCAGAGTCCGGAGAAAGTCTATTTGAAAGCATGCATGCTCTTTTGAACATTTTTGTTTTTGTTTTAATTTTTACTCGGGCCTGCGTCCTGCTACTGAACATGTGTTTTGATGATAAATTGTGAATTGAATTGTCAGATAGTTGTGGAGTGCCCTCCTTTCTTTCCTCTCCCCTTTTCTCTGAAGGCACATTCTGAAATGGCTACTCATGTATATTGCGTTCCTGCCAAGCCCGTGAAATCCTGCCTGAGCAATGCCTTTTGAAAACTAATGCTGAATAATAGTTCTCCCATCTGCATATGTCACAGCGTTTGCATTAGAAGCCAAGTGTACAACGGATTTAAGTTGTAAAGCCCCACAGTGCCTTGGAGTTGCCATAACATCTGTGGAGATGTCTAGTTATTCCTTTGGGGGAAATATACAGATAGTACCCAGTTGTATCAAGACAGCCTGTAGGCTCAGCTTGTCTTGGTTTTGCTGAAGAAATCTACACCCTAAAAGAAACAATGTACAGATGTCAGGTTTGTAGACTCAGTATTCTTCATAGAGCAAAGAATGGACACAAAGCTTGGGAGCACCTTCAAATCTAACCGACCGTAATAAGGCATAAGCTTTGGAGCATAATAAAGTTGGTTAGTGTTGGAGGAATGACTAGACTTTGTATCTGTTTTACTGTCAAAGACAAATATGGTTCTTTATACCCCTGTACCACCTTCTGCTCTTCACTTGGGAAGAAAGGATTCTTTCTAGAAGTTTATTATAAGAATCAAACACGGACAGAGTTCATTGTCCTTCTTGATAAAAATCTGCTCCTGATTATCCAAATCATCTTAATTTCTGCAGGTTACATTCAGGCTGGGATATATTGCTATTGTTCAAGAATTGGGAATCAAGAATCCTTATGGGCTCTAGTTCAAATTACTCTACTTTAGTAGCTAAACCAGATTTACCTTGTGACTACAGGCAGACTTCGTTTAGCGACTGCCTCATTTAGTGATTGTTCACAGTAACACAGTGATGAAAAAGTAACTTTACAAACAATCTATTTACCATCTTTGCCAGTCTGTAAGGCAAAGGAAAGCTGAACTAAGGTAATAAGCATAGTCACATAGTCACAGTTTCATTTAGCAACCATTTCACTTAACAACAGAGTTTTAATCGTAGTTGTGATCACTAAACAAGGACTACTCATACTTGTGACCCAGCGGGGCTTCTTTGTAATAGTTATTCTGGAGAAGCTCTGCTTTCTCACCACAAATGTCTTTGTCTACAGTAGTACTGCACATCTTTAAACATCAAACATCAAAGGTTATTTGGGGGGATGTTGATAGGGAGATTCTTCCATTCAGATTTTTTTAGATTGATGTTTTAATTGCTCTCCCATTTGGCATTCTGGATTTGAAATTCTATTCAGAGATGAAGGTGGGTGGGCTTATTTTAAGGTCAATCAGCATTCACCATAGCCTGAAAATGGTGCCTCAATTAAATGTATTTATTTGCATGTATTTACAAAGGTTTTAGGCCACTGAAAACAGCCATATAACTGTCCACCAGGTATGAATGATAATCTATAGTGTAATCACTCAGACTACACATCCATGTGCATCTCACTTCATTCTGGCTATAAATGTCTATATTTAGAAACTTATTTGCATACACAGTGGTGGGAAATAAAATTGTACAGTGATATCACTTTGGGGGTTGAAAACAGTATTCAGGAGGAGTGGGAAGAAAGATACTATAAAAAAGCATTGTAGCTTTTTTAAACCATAAAGAAACACGCTACCATTTTATATAGCCATCTTTCACATACAGACAGAAGCCAATTAAAGGCATTGCTCAATCTGGAAATCATGAAACAGTTGCCTTCTACAACTGTTGCATGTTTCTAGCCCTTTTTGTTATTTATATTCCAAGACTTCCAGTGTTGCTAGGATCTCACAATTGCCTTTCTCTCAGCTGATAAAACTGGACAAGGCACATAAGATAATATTGTTCATTGGGCCCTCTCTAGTTTACATTTGGTCTGCAATCCTTAGTGGCCTTTGCAAGTAAGGCAAACAACCTGTGCTAATCATCAGAACACCTCTCCTGGTCCTCTGCAAATCCCAATCAGTGTTACATTTTTTTTCCTCATTTCCCTTCCAGCTTAGAACAAATGGAACTTTCCCCCAACCATTCCTGCTGGGAATTGCAGGGATCACATATCTGAGGAGCAACAGATTAGGGAAGAGCAGCTAGTTGTGATTCACAACTTCTGTTATTGCCAATTTCTTCCCAAGCCCCCTTTCTGTTGAGCTTTCAATCTGGTTTGATTAATATATGCAGATATTTGCTTGTAAAAAATATTATTCCCATTTCTTGGCAAAGCTAGACCTTAAAAACATATACAAAGCACTCTTCCTGTCATCTCAGAAAACCCTAAACTACATTTCCTCATTAGGCAGCATCCCCCTAGTCCAGCATAGCTGGCTCAGGAATTCTGGGAGTTGAAGTCCACGAGTCATAAAAGAGCCAAGGTTGCCTACCCCTGCCCTAGTCTTTGGATTCAGGCCAATTCAGATATTCTCTGTCTCCTGCATTGATAGAATGTGTGCTGTGATTTTATGCTGACTCTTCCCCGTCTTCAGCATCTTTTCTATAATTGGGTAGGTCACCCCTGTGCAATAGACTATTGGTTTATATTGTCTGAAACTGGGAATGTTAACTACACCACTGGGAGCAAAAAATGACACTTTTGCAGTTAGATAATTAAAATAGGCACACAGAAAAAGCAGCACTAATGTTTTAACATTGAGTTCCAGTCTTGAATGTAATGACTAATTTGGCACAGTGGTTAATTACTTTTTAATTTAGTTTATTGTGCAGTAAATGCAGGAACTTCCACTCCTGAGGTGCCATGGGGATGCAATAGGACTTGCACATAAATAGGTGGGCACAGCTTTTTCAGGCTTCCACAAGAAGCAAGCAGGCTTCTAAATTGCTTCAAACTAATTTGAATAATTATTGCAAATCAGGCTTAGGATGGTGAATGAACCTAGTTATTTGTGACTTATTCAATAGCCTCTGGAGCGCTGGCTTAGTGTGACATATGAATCTTTGCTAATACTGGTACATAAATTGCTTTTCTTGAACAAAGTCCATTTGCCCATCTAGTCCAGAATAATCTAGCTGGTGATGAGGGAAATGTCCAGAGATTTTTTTAATCCATAATCTTTTTAGCTACAGTAGAGTCTTACATATATTCTTTTACATGCAAAGCAGGTATACTGCAGATGAGACATTCTTATTCCTTTCACAAGAAATATATTGCTATATTTATTGCTCGGCACTCTCCTATGGTTGCAATATAGGCCTGTGAAGTGAGCTTATTTATAATATTAAGTCTCTTAGAGTATAATAACTGTTGAAAGGCATGCATGATGAGCATAACATTTCCTTTTTAAAAAGCCCAATTTTGTTGCATATTGTATGGGAATGGTATCTGTTTCTGTAAACACACATTGTCTTACTAATGAAGAAGTTGAAAGTCTTATTATGCAGTAGTTGGAAGCAGAGCGTCTATGCTTGCCTGCCAATGATTTAATCTCAGGCTATGCACCAGACACATGATTTGATTCTGGGCTTATTCTGATATTTTAGGGGAAAAAAATACCCTTTTCTTGAATCAGAGATTGTCTGCTTCAACTTTGGGCCTGATTTGTATCTCCCATCAATTAGCATGAGAGAAACCATAAATGGCTGCATCTTTTTCAACAGATGTATTTATTGTGAAGAATCAGTAAGTACATCTGAAGGAATGAAGCTGCCCAGTTTAAAAAAAATGGATGCCAGAGTTTTAGATCAAGGCCTTTTTAATTATTTTTTTTAATGACGGTAATGTTATTTTTGAAATTGGTTTAGGAACACTTACTTATTCAAATTTAGAGAGATGTTAATTTGATGGTGGGGAGGGAAAATTTATTAATCCCATTTATTGTTTAATGGGTAAAGTCACTGTAGAAGCTTAAGGCAGGGAACTTGCAAATTACGAAACAAAAGGTGGTTTTGTTATTTTAACTTTTCTATGCTATAGTTACCAGGTGCTGGACAACATTAACATTATGCAGTTAATATAATAACCCACCTAACTTAATACAAAATTAACCTTATTAAAACCTATAAACAATGGAATTTAAATAATGTGGGTGCAGCAGCAGCACGAGACATCAAATGTCCAGGAAATGAAAAATTATTTCAACAAGTATCAATATTGAAAGTAAGTTTTATACTGATTTTAATGAATTTGTCTGGAAGATTCTGCTCAAACAATTGTTTTAATTTGGGTATGCTTTCTAAAAAGATATAAGTGCTCAGGTCCATTTTGTTACTACATATGGATGGTGCCTAAACTTTTCCAGTGGTTCCTCATGTCCATCCAGAGGGACCAGCTTCATGAGAAAAGATATTCTGTATTCTTCCGTCAAATATTTCTGTACTTGCTCTAAGTAAAGAACTATTTCAAATTAAAATGTGGCTCTCTAGTCACTTTATTCCACTCTACAAGTGTGCACAAAATGGGGAAACGCTCATCCTGAACCATTTCAGGCCAGTTCAGAGTGGGGGGGGGAACGGGGGTAGTCAAGGCTGGTCTCTCTTGGACCACCAGAGATATATCGCTCCAATTTAATCTTCCCAGCACGTTCCTCCCTTCCTTTCTCCCCACTAACTGTTGATCTCAACTTTTTCTCCCTGCTGTCCAAACCATTCTGCTTGGACCAAAATATTCTCATTTTATTCTGTGCACAGACAAAACAGGTGCTTCTGTTTAGGCACAAGCTGTTCCTTACCCAGGATTTTTTTTTTTTACACATACCTATTTCTGGCTTTCTCCTTTTCCCATCAGAGTGCTTTATTGGAAAAAAAATGAAACAATCAAGTTTTACCAATAATGTCTCCGCCTTCCCCCCCCCCCAGTCCTTTAAAACAGTGGTTTTCAACCTTGGCAACCTTAAAATCTTAATCTTAAAATCACATCTTAAAAATTGCCA